GGCCTCGGCGGGCTGCGCTGCCCGGCGGTCAAGGGCGGGGGGGAGGGCGGGCCTGTCTTTGGGTGGCTCTGTCGGTTTGCCCGTATTCTGATTTTCTTCTGTTTGCTGAAGAGTGCCTGCAGGTATACCAGGAAGCTGAAGGCCCTGGTTGCAGAGATCCCGTTGTGTCTCCCCCATCCCCCCCCAAAGGGGAAGGTGCCAAGGCACCAAGTACGTGGGTGTTCACAGCCAACGGTCTAAAAAAAAAAAAAAGGCAATAGAGCATCTATTTCAGCTAAATCTATTCAGATATTGCGTATAGCAGGAAGAAAGTGTTACGTGTGTTATGCTGTTTTCTCTTCAGTGACGCTGAGAATTTGCCTTTCTCATCCAGAGCCTGCTGAAACATCATGTTCTGTCGATTGTACTCTGATACACAATGAAACATAGACAACTTCACCCTTTAACTCTGAGCCGGAGGAAACCGAGCTGTTCATCTTCAGTTAAAGAAAGAAAAAGTGAATGGGAACTTTGTGCTGCAGCAGATCATTAGTGTCCAGGCCAGACAACAAATTAAGGTAAGGATTGGAGATCTGGTTCATCTTTGTAATAAGATGTTTATCGGTTCTTTAAGGTCTTTGTTGAAAGTGTAGGATAGATGCTTCAGATCCTTAGAAGGCTTATTCCTGTATGTGGTCCTTGAGCCTGGTATTGGCGCAGAACAAAAAATTTTTTTTAACCAATGTATTAAAAGCAATATGAAGTTGGATCAATTTTTGTTGTTTTTTTGTGGAACTGAAAGCCGTTGTAAGTATTGCCTGAAATGTTAAAAATGTATTTTGCTGGGACAGTTGAACGTTTAGTGTGAGACAATAAATATTCAGATTTTTTTTTGTTGATGCTGACTGAAATTTGGCAGCTACTTCCTGAAGTGTAGAAGAGATCTCATAACTCTAAATTCTTTGAGCCCATTTTGATTGAATACCTAAAAGCTGTAGAGGTGAATGCCTAAAAAATAGAACATTAATAGTGACCAGCTACCTAAATATTAACCAAAAATCTATGTAAATATGCAACCTGAGATAGTCAAAATGCTTTTAAAATCAAAATTTAGATTTTACTCACATACTTTCCGTTATAGAGATCTTAATTATTTGGGTTGAAAAACTGCTAAGTATAGTCTTCTAATCATAAAACTATTTTAAATAGTTTAGAAGATCTCTGTATTTGATATTTTTTGTCTCTTATAACACCTTTTGTTTCTGAATCTAAGGAATTAATAATATATATGAACGCATAATAATGTGAATAATAATGATCCAAACTAACATGCAGTATTATGCTAGTGAGTAATTCAGTTTAATGGAACTGTTTGTGTAAATGCTTTCTGGAGTAAAACCTATTACTCTTGGACCTGATCATGGGTTGGGATGGATTTGCTGTTTGGAATAAACCATTTGCAAAGAAGAGTTGGTACAGGCTCTCTGGATGAAAAGCCGTCATGCCATCAGTCTTCACATGAAAATCAGACATATAAAGCTGTTAGAAAGTTTGTTTCTGTGGAAATTGGCAAGAGAGAATAAAACACAACCATTGCAGCGAGGGTTGTGTTGCTCTCTTCTTGCCACTATTTGAAAGTGTAAACAGCAGCGCCATCTTAGTTAGAAGCTTCCAGGCAGGGCTGAATTCCTTGCCAACAGGGATACTAAGAAGATAAAAATACTAATGGGGGTTTTGATAATTAGGTTTAAAGTTCTGCATTTTGTTTCAGCTGAAGCAATAAAAAAGCTTATATAAGTCTCTGGGTACCTGAACACGTTTATGTTACAAAAAAATCCCGATAGCATTAAAATAATTATTCAGAAGATGAAATTTAGCTAGTCAGTGTAGATCTTTGTATTTCTTGGTACCTCTGGGAAACATACTCCAGCTCACTTCTGAACTTCTATCAAGTGGGTATATTTTTTGAAGATATTCTAATCAAAAGTACGTGATTTGCAGAGTTCTAGGCCTTTCTTGCTAGCTATTATCCCTCTGTGCTAGAGGAAAGATCCATCTGGAACAGTTCGGTTGACAGTATCCTGTAGCACGTGGAGCGAGACAGTCTTCTCTCAGGGGTGCTTGCCGCAGGTCCTGGGGGAAACTGATGTCACAAGTTCTCAGTGAGATGGCTTTTCCACTGTAATAGTTGTTGGGGTTTTCATGAGCGCTTAGTCTTCTGTAGAATACATTTTAATGGCTTTGACTGAAGCAGAAGTATGGTTAATGTCGGCAAGGTTCACGCTGTGAGAAAGGTCTCGACTTAGCCAGAGGAAAATAGCTGATAAGGTTTTACTTTTATGTGGTGGTTGAACAGGTTATAGATCTGGAATAACCCTTAAATTGCAAATTATTTCTGAATTTATTCCCTAAAGCAAAGGGACTGCTATGCATTTAGCCTAATTAGCCCTAATGGCTCGTGACACACACGGCACAAGCTAAGCTAAGTGTCGTGGGAGAACTGAATATTCTGGATTCTCTTTACTCAAATGATGTGTCATTAGAGCTGGAGATTCAGAAGTGTGTTTTAGACAGAAAATTTTTCACTAAAACGTTAACACGTGCGGTACTTCAACTCTATTTCCTTTTGTAAATCATGTTAAAGATGTGTTTTACTGAAGTGCATTGTTTTGAGTTTATAAAATGGTCCAATTATTACACAGATTTGTTGCTCAGTGTTTTTGGTGATCTGAGGGATGCTATGGCTTTTAACTACGCCTTCATCTCAGTAAGGCAAACTTGTACGGCGTATTTAGGTGGAAACTTCTCAAGGCCAAAGCTACTACTGTTAGTAGCGGGAGACTTTGAAGAAAGGAGTAGACTCTTTCGGCCTTGTCTATCAGTAAATGGAGTTTACACAAAAACGTGATCCCTCTCTGTGTAAGTCTGTCTCTCAGTCACAGAGCTGTCCGAGATGTTAGTGTATGAAAATAAGGCCTTACGGTAAAGAACCTTGAGCTATTTAATCAACAAAACAAATGACTTCATGTGTATCAGATTTCCTGTAAATTCCAGTAAATATGGATGCACGCCATCTCTCAGTGTAATTCAGTAAGCTAATACAGGAGAAACTGATACTGTGGAGAAACTGCCACCGGTAAGTGAAGTTGCGTATCTTAATTTCAACAAGAGCCCTACTTTGTTTCATCTGCAAATCTTTGTAAATATAGCAAGTATCTGTGGCTCCTGCATTTTCAGGAAACCAACATTGATGAATACATGCAGATCTGAAAATCTAATAGGAAAATGATCAGATCTGAAATCTGATCAGAAAATGAGCAAGAAAAATAAAACACTGAAATACCTATAGAAAGCTGTTAGTCTGTGGTTAAAACTATGTTGGTACTTGTTATGCTGTGGTAAACTTGTGAAGTTCTCTGGTCCAAGAGTATTTTTCAGGGGTCTGGTTTTTGAGATTTTGAACTGATTTGTAGGAATAATACTTAAGATTGGAGCTGTAATAGTCCAACATTATTTAATAAAGTGCAATTGAATAGCAAGGAAGTGGCGCTTTGAAGCTGTGGTTCAGAAGTAAGCAAGCTTCAACTGAAAGCTTGCTTCAACTGAAATTAGTATATGCTACAATATTTTTGGTTAAGAGTGAGTGTTGATGAGAAGTTGAGCTTCGCTTCACAGAAGATAAGTAATCCAATATCTTCTGGAATGCTCACAGATATGAAACAAACTGATTGGTATAAATGGTATGGTTGGTACCAAGGAGAGTAGGAATCGGTGGCCAATTCTTGCAATGAAGGGAGCTTACAGGTAGCGTTCCACAGGAAGCTGTGCTAGGACCCCTAAATGCACATGTTCACAAATGACCTGGCAAGCAGAGTGAATGGTGAGATGACAAAGTTTTCTGAAGAACCTTAATAAAGTTGCTGAAGAACCTTATGGGGCTGGTTGTCTGGGCATGAAGTGGCATATGAAACGCGCTGTAAATAAATGTTAAGTGATATACACGTGGGAGAAGAGAATAACCCTGACTTTGGATATAAAACAAATTGGCTGTGAGTTGAGTGTTGTCACTTCAGGATGAGATTTTTTTCAGGTTTTAATAGAGTCCTGAACACGTAAACTCGGTGTTAGTAGTGGTTGGGCGGGGGGAGGTGAAATACCATTATGCCACTCCATAAATTCACTTGTGCCCGCATATAGAGATGATAATTGTAGGTTTTCATATTCCCCAGCACAGAAAAAGCTATAGTAATGTATTTAATACTTTTATGTTAAGAATTTGAAAAGATTCAGAGAAAAGCTTAAAAAAAAAATCTGAAGTGGTATGATGAGGTTTTAGGTGAGTAGTGACTGAGTAGACTAAGACTTAAGTTAGATGTGTTGTGGGAAGTATGGTTATGTATTTGACTGTTTGTCGTCTCCTCCTATACTAGAAGTAGAATCTATCAATTGACATAAATAGGCTTTCATAGAATGGGTGGAGCTCCTTGCCTGCGGCTGTCATGGATGCAAAAAGTTTGTAGGTTTGAGGAGAGTTTTGACAAGTTAGTAGAGGAGAGACCTGTTGAGGGTTACTAAATAAATGACATCAAATTCAAGAAGTCCTATGGAAGTTTTTGGAGAAGTGACATTATATGCTTGCCCTGGTCTTCCTCTTTCCTGGGTATCATCTTAAGGCTACCACAGTACACAATATGACTTTTTATGCATCGCTTTTAAAGTAAGATTGACTGCTGGAACTGGATGGTTGATCTGAAGAACTTAGTTCAGACAGCTGAATCGCCACAATCCTTAAGCAGAGAAATATTCTGATTTATCTAATATTTCAAGCTCATCCAGCAGGGCTTACCTGCTTTCTTTCAGGTGAAAAGTCTTAAAGATTTTCTTTCTCCGTCCATTTTCCAGTCTTTTTTAATCCTGCAGTAGCTGACTTAACTCATATATGTATATGTATATATAAAAATAAAATTCTGTAACAGTGGTTTGAGATGTTCTTGTCTTAAGGTCATGATCTCTTGACAAAGCCAGACTTGGTTGAAATGGCATTGGCAATATGTAGAAAAAAATTCCTAGAACTATTTTCTTTCAACTGCTTATTGCTTCACCTTTTCTAGTCTTGCTTGATTGTCACCTGTGAACCTGATAAGGCTTACTGAAGATATATCAATACCAGTCAGCCCTATGAATTCCATACTGTCTCCTTCAATTATCTGTGCTTGTCATTCAGCTTAAGCATATAACTATACTGCTTACTGAAGTACCAGTATAAGGAATGAGTTTATATGAATGGAGCCAAAAATATTCTTATGTATTGGTCATAAACATAGCCTAGTTGCAGATTTGAGCTAATGAGAGTTGTTGATCTTGAGATATCTGCATAGATAAAATTGTTCAGCAGAGGTTCATATTAATAATACTGCTTCTGTCATTAGTCACTGTATACTCAGAACAGCAATGTATTGAACAATATCTGCTTGTACAGACGTAAGAGGGTTTTTACTCGAGACAAATCAGTATTCTTACTTGGAGAAGATGCATGAGATGAACAAACTAGGTGGAGCAAGAGGTGAACAAGATGAGA